TATAAATATGTGCTTCAAACAGAGGTTAGTATAAACATTATAACCATTCTCTCAAAATAAAACATATTAAAAGGCTTTCTTTCATTACCAGAAATGCAATTATCTGAGACTGACAATTGCTGCTTTGGCTGCATTCCGTGTCTGCTGGAGAGGTAACTCCCTCGTAAGGTTATATGGTGAAACAGGTGCAAAAGAAGACATGAAAATTGTGTGCAAATACATCAATAGAGGAGTTGGATGGCATGATTCACAATCATTTCCTGGAGATGTTTAAAAAATTTCTGAAAATATTATGATAAAGCAGACAGAAGTGTTCTCTGGCTAAACAAATGGCTGGCCCAGAACAGACCAGGATTTGTAGCATCCAAAGTGTGAAATGAAAGATCGCGCCACCTCAGCCAAGTTAAATTCAATCTTTTGCCGAGTCTTTGAGTCTGATCTTCAAGGACAGGATGGAAAAGTCATTAAAAAAAAAAAAAAAGAAAAGAAAAGAAAAAACAGCAATGAAAGAGAAGAAAAGAAAACCCAGAACAAATAACCGCAAGTATCCGCTGCATGACCCAGGGCACCTGGTAATTTGCCTACTGGCTCAGATACTGAGGGTCATGTTCAGACCACAGAAAATAAAATTTTAAAATATAAACAGATAAGATTAATGGAGACAGAATCTCATTTTTAAAACCTCGAATAGAGAGAGAGGCAAATGGTGTGGGATATGTGACAAGCTTTAAAAAATTTAAAGACTACTGGTTTCCTAGTTTGCTACTAGGAAACAATGGCATGATACACCCCAAATCATACATATTTCAGAATTTTGCATCATCAGTGAATTATGTTAGATCGAACATTTGCCCTTAATGTTGCTGCTGTCCGCACCAGACATACACATCCTGGAAACTTTGTCTTACTGTATTAAAATCACATAAATATTGGTTTTGTTTTTCATACACTCATAAAATCATTTAGGTTGGAAAAGACCTTTAAGATCATTGGGTCTAACCCATACCAATATTCGCTATTCAATTTTTTCATAGAGAAGCATCACCATCATTCAAGAAACCAGTGGTAGCAATGGGAACAGAAGTCCTGTGGATTGGGTTTAACTAGGCTAACGAATGGCAGAATGGGAGAACAGGATCACACCCTGATTCATGCTTTATTAAATCACAGTATAAGTAAACTGTAGCCAAAGTTCAACCTTTGGAGAGGGATACACACCAGGGTGGTTTTCTAGCACATCTTCAAAAGCTGTTGCGTATTTTTAATCCTCCTTTAAAAATACTGCACGTAAAACCTGCTAAATATGACTGCAATATAACCAACATTCTGACTGATGGCAAAGGTCAGGTGCACTGGAGAAAACATTTTTTCAACTCACTACAGTTGAGAAGTATACAGATGACTTTTTGGAAAAAAGGGTACTTTCCCCATTATCTGAATTAACCAGAATCTCAACAAGTGCCCACCAGGCCTTTATTAATCATTTCATTTAAATTACATCAATGTGTAGCTCAGGAATAAAAGTGAATTGTTTGCAGCAGTAAGACATCAGTTGTCCTTGCTCACTACCTAAAGGCATTAATTGTACAGCAAGCTGCAGCTACTCTGCTCCTACTCTTTTTGATGTGAAAATGTTCCAGGGGATTTACTGTTTCAGTACCTGTTTGTCCCTTTTTAACAAGTGTAAGATAATGGGGTTTAAACAGAGATGATACTTCAGGAAAGCTATCAGTTCTTTTATGAAGACTGGAATCAGGAGCATGACATTTCTTTTCAAATAAGGGCAGCTTCTTAATTTCTTTTGCCTGTAAGGAACTGAATTCCCCAATTTAGCTTGATTTGTTACTTCTTTTTGACTAACGCCCTAATCCTCCTTACAGGTTTTGCTCAGCTCCATTGTCTGTTATCAATAGAAGTTTCAAAATTATGAAAATTATAGACTTTCTAGGCAGGTGAAAAGTAAAGAAAGGCTTTTAAATTATGTACTCTGTCATCAAAAAGAGAAATGCATCACTATATGTGAATAATAATCTCAGGCTTATGTTAGGTACTGGGTATACATAAGAAATAACGGCATGGACTTTAATCTAGGTCTGTTGCTCAGGATCTCAAGGGAGTTTGTACAGCTCTCCCTGACACACATTTCCATGGTTTTACTATGATTAATATCTGAACTAGTGAGATTAAAAGTTGCTCAGGAACATCTCTGTAGGCTGCAGTACCTACAGGTGAAGCTCAGTCATGCTCTTTTTAGCTGTCAGATAAGATCTTTCTACATAAAGCAGCAACTGGAATTTACAGGAATGACTGAGATTACACTCTACATGACACAAAAATACACACTAAAATAAAATTAAAATAAACAGTGAAACTGCACTTAAATACATATAGGAAAGCAAACTAATCAGATATCAAAACTATACTCATAACTGTCTCTCAAAAGAAAACTGAGGAACAGGTGGCTATTTGAAAAAACTCCTATCCAAATCCACTTTCTCCAGTTCATCTCCAAGCATTGTCTCAGTCTGAAAACTTAGGAAAAAGTTGTGGCCATTAGCCAGCCAGTTGATCAAAAGTAATAGCCATGATTAATTTCAAGGATTTGTCTGGCTCTCAGACTATGGCATAAATCTTCTAGGGACTGTAACCACCTGCAGGAGTGACTTTGACTTGAGACCTATGAAATAAAGGTGCTTTTTGAGGCAAATGCTCTTACACATCAAACCTTGGCTCATTTCCTTTATATCAGTCACAGTGACATTTCTGATACTCAAATCATGCTCTTTTCCTGCAGCAACACTCTCCTGGTTTCCCTGTCATATACCTGTTGTCTCATGTCTCCCATTCCTGTAGTACAGTGCTGCACTGCCCATTTGGACTGATGGCTTGCTTCCCTCTTCCATCCATATCATCACCTCAAAGTACTTCTTGTTTGAAATAAAATGCAGATGTAATATTCATAGATTACATTCTGTATGAAAAGATTCTGTACCAGTGCTGTAGCCAGGTAGGTAAGAAATCAAGCAACTAGGGACAAAGACATCTGAAAAAAAGCCCTTGAAAAATATTAATTTACTCACCTAAAAAAACAAGGGGACACACACAAATAATGAATTATTTAATTCTCAAAATTCATTTTCGGTTAAAAAAAAAATTGGATGTATTTTAAACAATATTTTCTCTGCCCCTAGCCTCTGAATTTTTATCAGAAGATGAAATCTGTAAATAATAATAATAAGCATTACCCCAGATTATTTTCCAAAAATCACCTAATTTTCCAAAATCAGCTCTCCAGATTTGCAGCAATATTTCTGTGAGTTTTTGGTGGGCTTTTGGGGGACTTAGAAAGCTATTAGTATTTGTAATTAACTCTAGCATCACCTTCTTCTTTTCAGTCTGCTCCTCTTTTATTTCTTAGTCTTTTTAATAGAAGCGCTTGGCTTTTACTGTGACAGTAAATTCAGAACAATGTTTTCAAAAAGAGTATTTCGCTCACTAGTAAGAGGAACTGGTTAGTAAAAGTATGAACCACTCCATTCTTCTATTTATATCTCCCAAAGTCAGGAGCTCACATTGCTGACTGTAAGCCAGTCTTTTACCTCTGATATTTCCTAGGTATGTCTACAGCTCGATTAAAAACATCTGCTGGACCAGGCAGATTTATCCACAGTTCAGCCAAAGCTCTTAATCAGATTCCATTTCCTCTTGTCCTGGTCCCTTTAATTCTGTTCTTATTGTCTGCTTGTATCTTAACTTGAAACTTCAGCAATACATCTTCTCTTCCAAACCTGGAAATGGCATCTCATTTCCAGATTCAAGACCCTTAGATGCATTTCTGCAGCTAATATAAAAGCTGTCTGCACCTTAAAATTTCTCAAGTCCATTAGAAACTTTCTGTGTCTGTTGTATATGTAGCTCCCATCAACATTAGACAGCAGATTGTTTTCTGTCCTCCTTCCTTATTTTATGCCAGTGATGAGACAATAATGTCCCAGTCTTCTTGCATCTAAAGCCTGGGGTTTGAACCTTTCACTTCAAATGATTTTCTGTAGTTGACGTTCTAAATCCTACCTATACATTCCATTTCTTCTACTTCTCTTTCAGTTCCACAGTCAGAAATGCAAACTGACCATGTCCAAGTTTATTATTTTTTCTTGGAAACTTTCTCCCTGTATTCACCTCTTCTACAGGTTTTATCACCTAACTTTACTTCCCCATATCAATTAGTTTTAGTTAAGTATGTTTTCCCAGTCTCACAGTGGAAGATATAGTCAATATTTGGTTCCATTGGTAATGATACTAAGCTCTGTACACAGAAAATGAAAGCTTAATTCTAGGTAAGGGAAACATATATAATTCTACAGTAAAGCAAAAAAAAAAAAGTGTGATTATTGAGTTCTCACAGTTTAACTGGAAGTCTTATAGCATTTGACATTCTCATAGTTTTAGCTCTCAAAGGTAGTTGATTATGTAGAACCCCTTTTTAAAAATTTTTTTAGATGGACTTTGACAAGGAATTTGGACAAATCTTGTTTAGATTTTGTGATTCTACAGGTCAAAGCCAACAATACGTAATCTTACTGTGTATTAAAAAGAATTTGGAAATATGACTACAGTGAAGATGAAAGGCTTAGCGAGCAAAAAAGCTGACAAAAAAAAAGTCAGATTTATTTAAAAGTATTTTTAGCTATGCTGATATTTTTGGTTGTGTGACTCATACCTTGGGAAACCTTTGAGATGGTAATAGTCAAAGACAGGTATCTTCTGATTCAAGAAATGAGACACAACAAACCACTGAAAACCCAAAACCGAGTGTGCACACATCTGCAGTCTTCAATAGCAGAATGATAGAAACTACAGATCCTGCAAAAAAGGGAGGCGGACCCCAACCCCTGGCCCTACAGTTCTTTTACTTGTTCCCAGGCTACTTCAATGCTCCACAGAGGCTGACATTTATCAGTAGCCCCGCTCACAGGCAGAGTGGCCCCACCATAACTCACCACCGGCCGGTGCACATCCCAGAATGCTCGCTCCTGGCTGTCAAGAATCTTCCTCTCTATCTTGTCTCTCTTTTTGTCAACTCTGTTAATATTATAGGATATTTAAAACAAACTGTTAATGATATTAATTTTAAACATAAGAAGTGTCCAATCATTTTTCCCTCCCCTTCTCCCTTCAAAAAGCATGCAAAACCAAAATTCCTTATCTTCAAAGAAACTTACTTTGCTTGTGCTTCAGCTTGCATAAAAATAAACTCCCATTTCCGAGCAAATGCTCGTTGTAGCCTGGCCAAACTCTCCTGAAAATACATCACAACTTTAGTGGGTTAGGTTTTAAGCTATTTACTGTTTAATAGCTTCTAGTTTATTCTCACCAGGTTCCCTCCTCCCTTCCCCCTCCCAAGGTATGACATAAGCCATGATATCTATGCCAGTGTAAACGTACCTTACTTATCCAATATAAAGTCTTTGCTTGACAGTAAATGGGATGGAGTACTAGATCTATTGACTTTTGAATGCCCTGATTATTTTAGTTTTGAAACTCTGATAAAAAGGGTGGATGTAACCTTCAATAGAACATGGAACTTCTAAAGCATTTTATATACTGGGTAGTGGCTAAGTAATTTTGTAACAACCCAAAGAAACATTCTTGTTTTGAAAAACCTAGTACTGAAAGATAACACCGGTACTTTCCATAGTGAATGATTCACATCACCATTCCCATCAGTCACCTATAATAATGGTTTGCATTTAACAATTATTTAAAATACAATAGTAAGCAGCTATCAATATTTGGGTAGTGTAGAAATCTTCCTAGACCTCCGCAGATACCCTCTTTTTTTAAAAAATGCAGACTAGAATCCTTCATTACTGTGAAAGAAATGCACATGTCCCACAGCCTACTGTGGGAAGAAGATTTGTAAAATCTTAGCAAAAGTCTTTCCACCAGTGATGCTGAAACAGCTTCCCTTATCTGTAACAGAGCTTTTCCAATCTTCCTCTTGCTTAAATGGCAGCAGTATGCTGTCTGTTAACATGGCTGAGGTTCTTGTTTTCCTCCAGAAAGACTCCAGTTACTTTTGTGCATTGCTTTTACTAAGACTAAATGAAAAATTGTCTGTAAACTTCCTAACAAAAAGTGTTGCTTTAACCGTATTCACATGCACTGCAAATGTATCTCTCTGACATACTTACTGAAAATAAAGACTGCAGAGAGTGAAGAGGAAACTTTCTAGAGAGCTTGTCAATACCAGTAAAGGCTCTTGTGGATTGTGTACTGGAGGTGAATTTTCTAAGGCACGTAGGTATAAAATTATGCATGCCCCACAGCGCAGTACACTGAAAAGCAAGCTTGTGCCAGCAGAAGCAATAAAGTGTGTCAGCGTGGTGCTGTGGCGGGAGCATTTGGCATGTTGAGCGGCCTGGCTGCCTACCCTGCTATCGTGTCACAGCCGCACAGCTGGACAGCTTTCAGTGCAGAGCCAGGGCTCTTCGCCAACTTATGTTGACATTTTCATGAAAAATTCAGGAACTTTTGCGGAGATGGGGATGGAATTCAAGACATCATTCTCCTTTAGTGAGTGCCATCCTCATCAGATAATCAAATCCCCTCTTTTTCCAGTTCTTCCTGGCCCCAATTATCTTACCTTGCCTGGGGCATCGCACAACTTTCATGGAGTGGGCAGTGACTCTAGTCTGACCCTCTTTTTCTCTCGCCTAGTGATGGGACAAGGGCTCAAGGGCTAGCATCACTTTAAAGGATGAGATTTATACCTCTACAGCTCTCAAGTGCTTTTGAAAAAGCTGCCAGGGACCCTTCATTCAAACCTTACATGGTGTAGAGAACCATTGCCTTCTAACACTCATGGTGTACCTGTGATCCGTGAACAGTTATTTTGATCCTGGCATGGTGATCTGAACAGAGTAATAGTAGAGATGGACGAAAATCTCAACTTTTGCCCAGCTAGCCTTTGCTAGAGTCTCTCAAAATGCTTTACAACTGAGCACTGTCAGACCCACATGCTGGCAAAAGTGGATAACTAATACATTTTCACATGTAAGGCCTCTAGTTTTCATGCCTAACATTATTTCATGTGCTCATTAGGCCTAGCAGAGAAATTTACTTTTCCTTAGGTACTTACAGCTTCATAGTCTGCCAGCTCTAGCCTTGCTTTGTTTTGCATTGTCCGCTTGCAGAGGTAAACAGCTGGAACAGAATAAAATAACAGAGAATTTGCTATTATCTCACCAACATAGCAGAACAGGAATCTAGAGGCTTCATCTCTAGTTTACTGATAGCTTTTTTGTTTTGATTTCTCCGTCTATTATAAAAAGGTTTAAATACAGGATCAATGCTACCAGCATTGTAGCTAAAATAATGGTCAGATACAGAAATTCATTAAATAATTATAAAATCTGCATTAAGCAACAGACATCATATATAAAATGCATGAGATACTTGGGGTGAGGTTGTTTAATGGCCAAAGAACCAGCACACTAAATTAAAAATGGCAAAAATATTTTTTAAATGCTATGTATAGCTCATTATGCATAAGAGATTTATCAGGAGCTGCTGTTCTAGTAGTCAAATAGGTTTTTAAGGATGTGTATAAGTGGTTTTATTTATTATACTTATATTTTAGAAATCCCAAAATTTCTACCTAAGAAGATTTTAGTTAAAAATAATCTCAGATAAAATCCAATTCTTATGCAGATTAGTCTTCTATAATGAATATTTAAAATAGAAAATGATGAGACCAAAAAATTAAAAAAGTGTATCATGTGTTACTGTGAGACAAAATCTATCAGAAGACCTGTTCTGCTTCCACCTCATTCAGACAGAGCAGAATTTAACTAATAAAATGGAATATTGACAGCTAAATACTGGAAGGATGCAGGGATGAAAATGAAAATTAAGACTACATACAGCCCAGTGGTTTGCATCACATTGCTTGATCCTGAATTCTTTATGCACTCCATTGCCCTTGAATTAAGTACATTTCCAATAGATTTTATTTACCAACAAATACTTCACATCAACCCTGCTTATTGCATGGCTTCCTCACCCCAGTAAGACAACAAGCGCAGCACAGTTCCTTATTGTGCAATATTTACCTACTTCATTACTTCAGAGTAACTTCCTCATGAGTGAGATGGAGGAATCTTTGATCAGTGTAGTGTAAGGTAAGAAAACCTTAACTTATCTGTGGTCTCTACAACCAGCAAAAAGAGCGCATGTTTAGTGGTAGTAGTTAGGAGTGTTACTGGTTCCTAACTGCCAGCTTTTCCACTACAGGAGTAAAGAGGGATAAATTCACATAGGAACCTCACTCTTGCAATCACTAGGAGGAAGGAAGTGCTCAACTTATATATAGCTTTGATTTTTAAGGTAATCAAACCAATTATATTTTACAACTCAATAGAAAATATTTCTTTCTGACAAGTCACCTGCAAATGCAGGCAAACCCACTCCAGTGGGTGTTATTTCAGTGGAACTGATGACAAACACTTCTAATCACTCCAGCTGCAGTTACAGGTGTTACTTAATATAAAATGAAGTTATATTTTAATGCAGTTTTTGTGTGTGTGTGTCCATTTTGTGTGTGTTATCTGGTCGAATTTCTTTCATACTTTTCCACTTTCCACTCCCATAAGAATCCATGTTTTTTTTCTCTATCCCCTGCACTCCCATAAACCCTCTGGTTCCAAAGTAATTCCTGTGCCTGCAAATCTACAAATATAGATACAAATCTATGTCACACACCAAATATAGCTGACAACCTGTTTACACAGCATTCATTTCAATATTAGTACACACACTAATGCATTGGCATGCATGCTGAAATGTCACAAAAATGAGGGGATGAATTCTGGACCCTTTGTACCTTGGCTGCATCCACAATCAGTACAGTGGTAAGAGAACACTGAGCAGAAATAGTCTTTGTCACTTAGCTTCTTTTACTGTGAAGAGTTTTCCTTGCTTTTCCTTCAAAATCAGTTATTTCGTTGAACGAGAAAAAAAAACTCCTAAACCCCTTGACAACATTTGCAATAAGATACATATTTAATAGAAATGTGTAGACAGTTCTGATAATGCCAGGGGTCAATTTTGTCTAGTTCAACGAGTCTAATACCATCTGAACAGAAACAAACCAAATTCCCTGTTCTCTGCACTTGATTAAGCCCTTGTAAACCACATTCTCATGGTCCCTGTACAGGCACCTTTAGTTAGCATAGCACTTCCTTAAATCTCATTGTGGATATATTTTGGGATTAGCATCTCCTGCTACCTCCAACAAAAATCGTTGCTGCAGAGATGGCTGACGGTCCACCTTCCTGTCAGGTTACATTTTAGCAAAAAATTATTTCAAATCACAGAGTTCTCCAACACCGGCAAAACAACAACCAGGTCACCAGGAGAGAGGGATTAGCTTGACACACTATTAGTCTAATACTGTGTCTAAGAAAACTCGTCTTCATCGTGTGACTGTACTGCAGTATTCTCCCTGCAGGGTTCTTTCAATGAGCCTTTTTGCTCCAACTCCATAGCAAATAGTTCATGAAAGAATGTTTGGTTTTTGTTATGAGGCTATCTTAGCCAACTCAAAAATCATGTTCATCCATCAGACCTTTTGTCTATGGAATATTCAGATCTCCTCCCATTCAGGAGTCTCAAGATTATAATACCTGTGGCTTGGACTATTTATGTCAGAAATATTTCTGTGGGTCAGTGTGGATAAGGTAGAATATGCACAGGAAAGTTTTAGTTATTTGGGAAATATGACATATCCATTACCGCAGAAGAAAATACTCCTGAAGGACATTCCTACATTCCTATGTGCTAACAGTTACATCCTTATTACAGAAGTGCACGTTTGAAGATTTATCTAAGAGCTACTTTTAGTCACAAGAGTAGCTGACAGCAGCTCAGGAATTTGAGTTCACCAGTTCACACTCTCGTTATCATATTCTTTGGCTTATCTATAACAAAATTCACTAGCACATTGGAAAGCAAGAAGAATATGAAAATTACTCTCATTTTCAGCCAGAACATTAGAAGACACAGAGAAATGAGGTTTTGTTCTTCTGACTTTGAAAGCGATGAGATCTGAGGTACAGATACTCCCATCTTTCACAGGTACCACTCCTTTTCTGCACCAAAACACTTGTGAATTAACTACATGTGGCCGGTAGCCTGAACTTGAGCATCTGGGCAGGGCGTCAGTCAGTTACCCTCTGAAAGCAGTCATGAGCCCTCTGCATTTCAGAGAATGACAGTGCCTGCTTGTGTAACCTCATGCTTTGTATGAGTTTTCAGTGTTATAGCTTCATACAGAAGTACAATCTGCAGAAAGGGTCTCCGACTGAAAGCTCCTTTACTTCTGTGTATACATCTCTATTTATCTACCCCACAAAGGTCCTGGTGAGGGCCCTTGGTACACCAAGTAGCTGTAATTACCCTGAACAGTCCATTCAGGGTCTTCACTGCGCTCCCCTGTGCCCAGGACCTGTGCTTAAGCCCAGCTACTTCCCCTGCCTGTGGCTTGAGTTATGTTGTAGATATGCCTCTAAGTTTCTTCCCCTGTAACTTACGAATGCTGCCCTGACTTCCTTGACCTTGAACATTCCTGGTCATCTGGGACTTTGTAGGTGAGACCACTGCTCCTGCCTGTACTGTTGCCACCCTCCATTCTTGCATACCTTCCATTGCAGAGCTGCCTGCTCTCGTTGCTCTCTGCAAAGATGCTGAAAAATGCTTAATGTAGGGATGAATTATATGCAAGGAACAGGCTCTGATTAATAACCTCAATTTGCTAAATATGGACTGCCACATACACTTTTATTTTTAGAGCCGGTGTATTCTGATGGATTTTGCAATCAACATAATTGCATCCACTAAAGTGAAATATATATGAGATACTATAGCTTGTGCTTTAGAAGTGACTGATTATCATGAGAAAACAGATTTGCCAATAATTTTAAAGGCAGTATTAATATGCAACATTTCACAATGAAAGATGGTCAGTGATGTTTATAAATGGGCATTTGATTCACAAACCAGTACTAAAACACACTTTGGTGGCTGTGCAGTAAATACAGTCTACTCACTCTTGAAAATTCTGTTCAGCCATTCACAGGTGTGGGCAACGTGAGAGCTTAAAGTGAGATTGCAGACTATTCTAGTGAGAGTTGCATGAAGACGGTGTCCGGCTTTTCCCTCTTGTTAAGTTTTTAAACTGTTATACACAAAATAAGCCATTTTCATGGTTAGCCACCTTTGGTTCCTATTCTTGACTGTTCAGTTGGACTTGAAAGCTCCTAAGAAACCTCTACAGATTTTTTTTCTTAAAATAAGATCATAATGATAATGACAGGTGTGCTGGTTTCCATTCTAGAATTATTAAACTGCATTGCATACACATTGTATTACACACACTTCCTGAAAAAAACCCAAAGCTTTAACCCAAAAGTTAAACTGGGGAATGTAAGCTTGTTTCTAAACAGGGGCTAAATCTTCCCTCTCACCACAGCAGAGAAAAAGCCTCAGCTAAATTCAGTGGAAGTACAGCTGGGCCTCTGAAGTCCACAGATAATGCCACCTACACATCCACCACCATGTACACAAACTTAAACTCGTTACATAATTGTCCTGATGCCAGTGGTGTTACAGCTTGATTCAGCCCCAGATGGTGGGTGCAATTTTCAGTGAACACTCATTATCTCTACTGAGGTCAGAGTAAATTTATACTCTCTGTGATTCAGAATTCTGGTTTCAGAGTCAGTGTGCACATGCCTAGTCAGTATTTAAAGAGCAAAGAAAATAGAGTACAGCAATGTCTAAGGGTTTCAAAGTGCCCTCTGGGCAGACAGAAGTTCTCCCTCCATGTGCGAGTGACTGCATCAGATGGAGATTTATGGTACAATCAGCACAGAACATGGCTGCAGGATGAAGAAAATGAAAACTCATTTAAACATCCAGATTTCTAGGCCTATTTATATCTTCTTTAGGCCACCTCTGCTTTTACTCAGTAAAAATAATAATTTTTGCTCTTTGCAACAGCTATCAAGTTTTACCTAGTCTTAAGAAGATGACAACTTTTAGGTGGACAAATGGGTCACCAATCAGCCTCGTACATCTATAAAACAACTACACTCTTCAGTAAATGCTAATAACATTAATTTAGAAGGAAGACCGCAATAGCTTAC